ATACTTTTTTGCCCCACTGTATATATATATATATATATATAATTTTTTTAACCCAAGTCTCCGAGAACCCGGCACCTTGTACTTCTGGAGACTCCAGGTAGGTTGCAGTTATGGAAAAGTATTCTAGTATTGTATTAGTTTTTAATATTTCTCATGAGCATTTAATAATTTTTGACTTCCAGTCTGAGTTAAATCTCTTGTTTGGCTCATTTTATCTGTAAAAGAAAATCTGCTTAATAATTATGCACACCTGAATATAAGACATTTTTCACTTCCACCCTTCATGAATAATTTTATATAAATTCTAAATGATTAAATACAAGATTAATAGTAGTTATTAAGATTGATGTCGTTTGGAATTGGTAAAATGTGCTTGGAAAAAAATATGATCAGAATATGAACTTGCATAATAATTATGCATGCGCTGTATTTTTCCTCTTCTGCTGTCGAGGTAATGCAAGGAATGTTGTGATTGGTTGTCAAGGCAGCCAATCAGAATTTTGCAGCCTAGTCTCTGATTGGCTGGAATTATGGCACATTGTAATGGGCTGTGTTAAGCACGCAAGCTGTTGGTATTTAGAGAGCACTGAGGGCGGGCATCAGGTGAGCAAGCTGGAATGAAACAGTTTTTTAGGAGTCGCGGCAGTAGAGGCGGCGCAACTATAACGACATGTCAATAATCCCGCCCACTCTAAAGCGATACTAAACTGCAGTGGAAACGCAAACCGAGCCGAGCCGAACCGAACCGAGCCGTACCGAGCCCAGTCGTACCACGCAGTGGAAAAGCGCCATGTGCCATTAGTAAGCATGCTCCAGACATTAGGCTTTGGGACCTACAAGGGAGAAAGTAGGTTCACATCTGGCCTACATTGTGCCCTGATCCCATTCCCCCATCTCTCGACATATTTTTTTCTGTCTCCTCCCTATGTTTACTGTCAATAAAAGATTTGCTTTACTATACACATCTCTTTCTGAAGCTGTGTCTATTTAATTAAACCTTTATTGATTCACAGACTGGGCATATGGCTGTTCATGTCTGAGATGCCTTATGGCACATTATCCAGCTCCATGCTGTGGAAGATCTTCTACAATATGCAATGTGCAGAGATGGACGGTCTGGAGAAGCTAAGCTGTAGCCTGAGTGCTGAGGACTGTATCCAGGGGCTCAGAGGTGAGACACCAAGCACATCTGATGCTGGTGAACACAAAAAGAATAGTTTACAGCGCTGGTTCTCAACCTTTCTGATTTTATGTATGTCCAGAACCAAGTCATCAGGAGAAGTTTCAGTGCTGGCTGTCGGAAATAAACAGCTCAGATGGAATCTGCCTGTTGACAACATTTGCACATATGGCCCAGCCCAGACGTACCGACATAGACCCTGAATTTGTCAGGAACATAGTGCTAGAGATTTACGAGGTGACTCGACTTTTTTTCTGAACTTTTACTGAAGACCTTTATGATGAATCTATCATCTAATCATAACATCATCCAGACGTTTTAAGTGCAATAAATGTTTGATTATGCTTTCCGTTAAGGTGTCCTATGTTAGTATCGCCACCCGTGAAATCTTTTCTAAAGTTGGGCGTGAGTTGCTTGCTGCTATAGCGACTGCCCACCCTCACATCATCTCTGTGCTGTTGGACAGATTGAGAAAGACCATAGAGAAAGTGGGCATGGTGAGTGAACTACAGCACCCATCAGTCCACCAAATACATAAGAACTGAGCAGAGATTGATGAAGAACAACAATTAAGCAAGCTACACTAAATATGCATTCAGTACAGCTGTTGTAGATGAAGCAAAACAGAATGCAGGGTCTCTGGATACAATTTGAACTGCTTAATCTTGTTAAAATTGTGTCAGTCATGTCAAGAGATGCAGACATTTTGTTGTAAATAAGACTTCTATGAACTATAAGCCGGTGATAGGCTTATTTTCAATGATAGGGAAATAAAACAAACAATATATTGACTTCTAAAGCCACTTTTTTGAATTGTCTGTTGAACTCCTCTGCCACAAAAATGTCTTTGAATGATCTGGGGGTTTTCTCAGCAAATACTGATACATTCTGTTATTTACCCTGATTATAATTATCTCTCCAGGTATCACTGTACCTTTTCAAGGAGTTGCCCCTGCACTTGTGGACTCCAGCTCGAGCTGAGGTGGGGTTGATCCGAGATTGGCTGTTAAACTTCAGTCTCACTGCTGTGGAGAACAGATTAGCCTGCATCATACTAGAGGGCCTCAACTGGGGATTTCAGCCTGTGAGTCTCAGTCATGAATATGGAAATATAAGCGCTGATTTATTATCTAACAGATGTGTCCTTGGATAGTGTACTTTTGTGCTAAATCGTGATATTCTCTGATGAGTCGTTGATAGGCCTGATACAAACTAATTCACTTTTTTAAGTGTTGTATATAAGAAGTATAACTTTCTCTGACCAACAGAATGGTTGCCTCATTTTACCAGCATCTTTGCATAGTGAAGTCGCACTTTTGGTGATTGAGGCATATCAAAATTATCTCACAGACAAACCATATAGTGGAATCCTCTCAGAAGGCATCAAACAGGTATGTTTCACATAGTGAAATAAGGCTCTTAATCAACATTGATTGTCATCAGCATTGATAAGGCTTTGTTTTTGTGTGTGTGTGTGTGGGGGGGGGGTTAATGCAGAATGAAGCTAATACAGACTGTATTAATCTATGTAAAAAGCCTAGTTTGCAGTGCTTCACCCCCATTCATCAGCCGAAATAATAGCCAAAAGTTTGATCAGCCCCTTAATATTTAAAAAGTTTCCTCAAAGAATGAACATTTTCTTCCTAGTACCATTTGTACTGTTATCAGCTCACATTTTCTGCATAACTCTCTGCAGGTGTCTTACCTGGCTAACATGGTGCGGCTCGGCCAGACTCCAGAATCCTCCTTTAACCAGTGGGCCTGGGATCTGGTTCTTAGGCTAAAGCTCCATATCAATAAAATAAGTCCTCAGGATGCCTGGTGCCCTCGTCTCTCCTCCAGCGCTCCCATTGTGCCTGAGATCACAGACTCTCCCACCATGCACCCAGTGTTCAAAGCAGTCAAAGCGGGCATACCCATCGGCTGTTTTCTGGCTATTGACATGACCACCATCGGGCACAGGTTTGGAAGGAATATACTCTTTTGATTCTAATAGATGAAGTGTACTGACCATAGACTGACTGATTCATCAACAGTAATGTTCCAAGCTGGATGAAAATCCAAATCTAGTGACATGAATTCATTTTCAACGTTTTGCATTTGACAGTTTGGAGAAGTTCTGCAGTGATGGAATTTCTCTTCTGAAGACTATGGTTCAGTCCCGTCATCTCAAAGCTGTAGTGCACATACTGGAAAACATTCTTCCTCTGGTCTACCACTGCCAGTTCTACCTGCTCAAAAATGAACAGTTAAGAACATTTATTTTTATATTGTCATATATTTATCACTTTCCGTTAGACATTACATCATCCTTGAATTTTTTTTTTTTAATTTACAGCATAAATAATGATTTAATATGTTGTTGTAGGTATGTAAGCAATACTAATGCTTCTCTCTAAATGTTAATCAGGTTTCTGAGCTGTATCCAGCTCTTCTTGCAGCTGGATAGTGGGACACAGGGTGTGACCCAGCAGGTTACACAGAAGGTGGCCCAGCATCTGATTGGCACCTCTACATGTGAGAACATCAAACTCCTTAACAGTGTGATCCAGGTGGGATTTTGAAATGTGTTAAATGTGTTAAATTGAGATTTATACATAATCTATAATTATATATCATTTTATTATTATAAAGCCGAATAAATAAGCTTTCCATTGGTGTATGGTTTGTTAGGATAGGACAATGTTTGGCCGAGATACAACTATTTGAAAATCTGGAATCTGAGGGTGCAAAAAAAATCTAAGTATTTAAAGTTGTCCAAATTAAGTTCTTAGCCATACAAATTACTAATCAAAAATTTAAGTTTTGATATATTTACGGTAGGAAATTTACAAAATATCTTCATGAAACATGATCTTTAGTTAATATCCTAATGATTTTTGGCATAAAAGAAAAATTGATCATTTTGACCCAAACAATGTAATGTTGGCTATTGCTAGAAACATACCCGTGCTACTTATGACTGGTTTTGTGGTCCAGGGTCACATATATACTGGGCATTTGTTACTCTTTTTCTTTATTATCCGATCCAACTCACCCATTAAAAAATGTACACTACTTTTTAAATGTTTATTTTAGAGAATTTTTAGAGCGTCTCCTATGCTCACCAAGGCTGCATTTATTTGATCAAAAATACTGTGAAATCAGTAATATTGTGAAATATTATTATAACTGAGCAAAAAAAACTGTTATCCATTTTAATATATTTTAAAATTAAATGCATTTCTGTTGTGGTAAAGCTGAATTATCAGCAGCTATTCCAGCAGTCTTCCATTTCACATGTTCCTTTAGAAATCATTCTAATATGCTAATATGCTTTTCAGAATTTTTAACAGAAAGTTTAAAAGAACAGCATTAGTTTGAAATGAAATTTTTTGTAACATCATAGATGTCTACCGTCACTTTTGATCAATTGAATGTATCCTTGCTGAAATTTTTTTTTTTAATTCCTTTTAAAAAAAATCTTACTGACCCCAGACGTTTAGAATGGTAGTACAGGTGCATCTCAATAAATTAGAATGTCGTGGAAAAGTTCATTTATTTCAGTAATTCGACTCAAATTGTGAAACTTGTGTATTAAATAAATGCAATGCACACAGACTGAAGTAGTTTAAGTCTTTGGTTCTTTTAATTGTGATGATTCTGGCTCACATTTAACAAAATCCCACCAATTCACTATCTCAACAAATTAGAATATGGTGACATGCCAATCAGCTAATCAACTCAAAACACCTGCAAAGGTTTCCTGAGCCTTCAAAATG